CCTAAGGCCAGGAACAGAGCCCTGAAATGGTGCTGGTGGTGGAAGAACCCAATAAAATCAGTGCCTGCCAAGTGGTCCAAGAACTTGGCTGTGGGAAGGAAGGGGCTGGGGGGAGCTCCCCGTGAGCCCAAACCCTACTGGGATAAACATTTCTTGGTGACCTTGAGTTTCCTGAAGAGCAGCTTATGCTCCTCATCTTTTTTGACTACTAGAATAGCCCACGTCTTTAGGAAAGAGGAACCTAAGGAAGTAGTTTGAGTTCCCTGAAAGGGCCAAAGCCCTGGGACAACAAGCAGCCTTCCCACAGCCCTGGCAGGGCAAATATCCCATCAAGCTTAAGAAATGGGTTAAGAGGATTATGGGCCACGTTTGCCTGGGATAACAAGGTCCTGGACGTGAAGACAGAGGTGCAGATGGTCCCCTCAGTCCTATTTCTGCATGTTTCTGGGAACCCGAGAAATACTGCTTGAGCTCGTGAGGAACTGAGTTTGGAAAGTAATGGTTCATTTCTTTTCTTTTCCTTTGGGCAGCATCCATTTTTACTCTCAGCCACGCCCCTCTCCGGCCTGACGACCCTGATCAATGCAGCAAAGCAGCTGAGGGAGGCCAGCAGACAGAGGAAGGGTTTTGGGATGCCTTCCTCCAGTTCCAGCGATGGCTGGAACTCAGAACAAAACTGAAGAAGCCTCATCCCCCTCTGTGTATACCCTGGGGCAGTTACACAGAAGAGGGGTCGCTTAGGGCACAGGGCATCACCACCAGCAGGTGGTGAGCAACTGGATTGTACGTTGCTTGTTTTCCTTGGGTTTCATCCCTTTCTTCGTTTTACTACTGTTACAATTAGGATTTCCATTAGTATTACTATTAGGATTTGTATTAGTATTAGCGTTAGTATTGCTATTCGTATTCATATTGGATTTTACTTTGTTTCAATTATTAAACTGCTCTTATCTCAACATACGAGTTTCACTTCTGATTTTCCTCCCTGTTCCACTGGGGATGGGGATGGGCATGGGAATGAGGATGAGCATGGAGATGGGCATGGGGATGGGGGTGAGTAAGCGGCTTTGTGGTGCTTAGTTACCAGCCCAGCTGGTAACTTAAACCACAACACTTCACCAGCACATCATTCTTCAACGAGTCCAACTATTCTGTCACCTTTTCTTCAAATGAGATTTACAATCTTGGTATCATAAAAATCACCCTCAACACACCCGTGATTCATGTAATTCAGTATCCTGTCTTTCTGTTAGACATGTTGGACATAGCAGAGAGTTCAGAATAAGGTCCAGAAGTCCTGAAACACACATGAAACTCGGGTGCAGATAAAAAAAGCATCTTTATTGTCTAGGCCATCAAAGCCAATTTATGCCATCAATTCTAAGGGGTTAGAATATTTTTTTAATTTTCCTGAACAAAAATGTAGATGTTACCCACCCATAAAACTTGTTTGCTTTCCCTACATTCTTGACCCTGGTCTCTCAAAGGCTTGTGTTTCCAAGGTTATGCACACACTGCACTGAGAAGTCCACTTACTATTTTTAAACTTGGTCCTTCTTAAATTCACTGTGGCCTCTAGCTGAAAACATGAAAGAGGTTAGTACAAATATTGGCATTCCATCCATGCTTTATTATTTAATCTATATACTTACCTCCACATTGAGTAGTACTGACTGCTGCGTGCTCAGTGGAATTTTTTTTTTCCAAGTTTTAGTAAGAAAAAAGACTCAGTAATAATTTTTTACTATGTAAATTTTTGTAAGTCTTTCTTGACTTTCA